ACCAAAAAAAAAAAAAAAAAAAAAAAAAAGAAAGAAAGAATGGCAGACACTCTCCAATGCTTTACAGGCTTGAATCTCAGCTGGTACAGAGGAACTGTTATATTTGCTTGCAGATGGATTTTGGCCCAGCCAGTGTTCCTGCAAAGTTGTATCTGGGTGAGTTAGAGGTTAAATACATTATAGCAATGGTTCTCACCATTCTACACGTAAATCACCTGAGAGGTGGAGAAAAGACTCATGCCATGGGTCCTCCTCACATCAGTTATTTGAGGATTTTTTAGCACAAGGCCAGACATCAGTATTTCTTCTTCTTTTTACTGACGCATAGTTTACACGTTACAAAATGTACTCAGTTTAAGTGTAGTTCGCTAAGTTTTAGTCAATTTATACAGTTGTGCAAACTTTACCACAATCTAGCTTTACTTTTTATTAAGATATAATTGACGTATAACTTTGTGTAAGTTTAAGGTGTACAACTGTGTTGATTTGACACATTTATATATTGCAATATGATTACCACCATAGTGTCAGCTAACACCCCTATCATGTCACATAATTATTAATTTTTTGTGGTGAAAACATTTAACAGTTTTTTATTTTATTTTATTTCATTTCATTTTATTTTGCCATGCCACACAGCTTGCGGGATCTCAGTTCCCTGACCAGGGATTGAACCCAGGCCACAGCAGTTAAAGTCCAGAATCCAAACCATTAGGCCACTAGGGAACTCCCTAACAGTATTTTTTAAAAGCACATGATTCTAATGTGCAGCCAGAGTTTGTGAATCTGGACAGTGCTGTTCAAACTTCATTGTGATACAGACTTCCTAGGATTTTGTTAAAATGCAGATGCTGATGCTGGAGGTCTGGGGTAGGGCCAGAGAGTCTGCATTCCTAACAAGTGACCCAGTGAATTAGAAGTTTGGAGGAGCGAGGCACTAGAAAACTCCCCATTTTAATTAAGGGGGCCAATGGCAACCCAGAGTTGGGAGGGAGGGCATGACCAAGAGCAGGGAGACCCAGGTTCTAGCCCGCTCTGCAATTAACAGGCTCCACAACCTGGAAACTATCTCTGCAAGTCAGCCGTCCTCTGTAAGTCTTATCACTTCCATCTGTAAAAATTGAGTGGTCACTCGACAATCAACTGGTTCCACTAGTCTGTGCTGTTGAGTTGTGTCTCTCTACCAGAGGAGCTGCAATCTCAAATGCCATCAGGACTGGGCTTCTAAAGAGGGGCAGCCATCAGCCGACCAACTGTTCATGCAGGAAAATGGGCCCAGTCTTGGCAGATCTTCCACTTTTTCACAAGAAGTCAGAAATCTTTTTTTAATTTAAAAATAGAAGTACACTAACCCACATATCAATAGCACCCAACCGACTTTAACATAATCACAGCCTCAGAAAGAATCACACAATAATTTTCCTAAGCACTCTCATATCCAGTTTTTTCTTTTTGTTTTCGTGTTATTTCTTACGAGGGAGCAGAGCAGGTATTGCTTTCTTCGTAAAACAGACCCCCCCCCCCCCCCCCCCCCCCATGGTGAGTGTCGCGCTGCCTAGGGAACACACCACAGCGGACAGTGTGTGTCTGTGTCAGGTGACCGGGATGCTGCCAGCAATCATGTGTGCCTTCTCTCCCTCCACTTTCCCAAGGTCACCTTGGATCTTCAGAGCAACACCGAAAAGTTTGGGGCTTTTCTGCGCTCTGCCTTGGATGTTCTCTCTTAAAAAAAAAAAAATACAGACCCCCCCCCAAAATGATAAGAAGATATCAAATAACTTTTAGAAAAATTCAAGGGCAGAGTCGGGATGAGCCAGAACACTGAGCCCCACTGTAGTCTTTGCCTTCCCACCAAACACCCCTCGGCTGCCCACATGACGTGTAGATGAGGTATTTCCCCCCCCTAGTTTCCCAAGGATCCCCAATTACAATACAATGAGGGTGAGGATGAAAAAGAAGTGCACGCTGCCGACGAGGTTCTGGTAGATCCAAACGACCCACAGGTAGCTGGAACTTGTACTCAGGGTGTCGATCCAGTTGTAGATGGACTGAATGAAGAAAGACAGACCTCGAAACGGGCCACAGTCAGCTGAAGGCTTCAGTCTGAGAAAACAAGGGACAGAGAAGCATCTCTAGTGCCAGACTCAGGTATAGTTTATTCTAGAATAGCCCAGTCGTTTCTGGGCTCTGAACATGGAACCAGCAATTCTTACCTGCTCCACCCACATCCCCCTGCAAAGGAAACCCTCTCGCTCATAGCCCCAGCTGGTGTGTTTTGTTTTCATGACCTGCACTCCAAGGACCAGCTCTTGGACAGGGGTATCACCTGACCCAACCATAACGAATCCAAAGACCAGGCAGAGGCCTCAGTGGTATCCTGGCACAAAGAAATGAACTGGGACGATCAGACTCTCTTCCTTAGGAACTTGAACTAAGAAATACAAAGATGGGAGGCTGTAATCTAGGGAAGCTGGAGTTGTGGTAATAATGGCCACATGAATTCAGTTGTTGTGAACAAGCAGAAACTAGAAGGCAACAAGGAACTGGTCAGGAAGAGAGAAAAGAAAGTAAACAGGGCGAGAGAGTCAAGGACATCACAGAACAGAGGAGCCTGCCCTGAAGCCGCTGAGACCCTCATGGTTCCAGTTCCACTAGTATCCCCAAAATCAACTCCCTTGTTGTGTGTTCGGTTGCTCATTCATTCTACAAAGGTTTACTGCCCTTGTACTGAGGCAGGAGACAGATGGGCTCCAGGTTAGACATTTGCAAGCCAGTTTCCTTTCTATACTTCCAGATAGAAATAACAACAGGAACAGGATGAATAGCTGGATTTTGTCTCCAGTGGATACTTTAACAGTAATGGCAGGGGCAGAGAGGAGCTGAGTCCTGCCCAGATAAAAGATAAAGAGAACACATATTTCTGATTCTTGAGGTCAAGGAGACCTCCCTGACTACATATGCACAGAAAGCCTCCTTGGGGTTAAAAAGGAGGGGGCTCCACCCCATAATAGGTGATGCCAAGCCTCCCACAGGCCTCTGCGCTGGAATCCATCTTGGCTAAAACTTGTGCAAGAACTGCTCTATATAAATGACCTAACCGCCTCTTTACTGCACTCCTCCTCATTAGGGAGGACACCCACACCCTTTTCTCTCCAGGTGTGTATCTCTGCCTTGCTTCTGTCTTAAATTAAAAAAACTGTTTCCCTGTGTGCTCTCCCACTTGCTGTGCTGTGTCTCTAATAATAAACTTTGTACCTGTTTTTACAGTTTTTGCCTCCTTGAAATATTCTTGCTTTCAAACGGGGCAAGAGCCAGGGGAACTTTGCTTCTAGCCTCTAGCCCTCGCTGGTCTAGCAGCTAGGATTCCTGGTTTTCAGCCAGGCTACCCAGGTTCAAGTCCTGGGCAGGGAACTAAGATCCTGCTTCAAGCCAACGCTCACTGCTGTCTCCTCGAGATCAGTACCAGGCTCTGTGCTAGATACTAAACCCTGGAGAATCCACAGTACACAAGACAGACATGATACCTGCCCTCCCAGGTTCTAGTGGGAAAGATGGTCAAGCAATGAGTATGCAATTAAACAAAGGTTCAAAGGCATTTCTGACACGAACTAGGGAACGAACAAAGGAAACCACCCTGAGAGAGAGAGAGAGGAGGGGGGTGCTGACAGAAGACGAGGATGGTGGTGAAAGTCAGGTCTTCAAGAGGACTTTTGAGATGAGGGTGGAAGGAAGGCCGCCAAGCAAAGGGACTGGGGAGAGCACTTCAAAGATGTGACCCCATCCCATGTGAGGAGAGGCTCTCAGGGTCCCAGGAACAGACTGAGAGCCTTGAGGCTGGAGTAGGATGGAGCCATGGGGGTGAGGTTGGAGAGATAAGAGGGAGCCTGACCAGACAGGGCCTTTCAGTTCATTAGAGGAAGTTCTGTTCTGCATGTGGAGAGCTGCCTTCTCCCCAGCTGGGAAGCTGCAGAACTTGGAGGAAGTAAGGAAGCTGTGCCGTCAAGACTGGGCACCTGGCGGGTGGTGACCCAACTTGGATATATTGCCGCCCTTGGTTGTAGCATCTGTTGGTTACCAAGGCAACTTGGGTTAAACACTGAATGAAGCATGTCTTCTTATTCTGACCTGTGACATCTGGGGCCTTACAGATCCTGGAGAGACTGCCTTTCCCAGGGCTGGCCTACAAAGCATGCCTTTCATAGGCAAACCTGAGCCCCCATCCCACCTCCACCTCCTCTCTCAAGCGCTCACACTCTGGGCCCTGTTCCTCTGCCCCCATCACCCCAGGGTCACATACCAGCCAACTCCAGAGGGTCCCTATACCCCAGAGCCTGCTGAGATTATTCAAACTCACCCCTCCTAAGCGTGCTAAGCCTGCCTTTCCCTTTCCTCCCCACCGAAACCACAATAAAGACTTTTGACCACGTTGACTGCTCTCTCCCTCTGCCTCTGATGGACCCTGGTGCCTCCCCATGTGGCCCCCCATGGTGTGATATGCCCCCTCCCTTTGGGGGTCTGTGAGTATAACAAATTATTTTTTCAGTGGCAGTCATCTCCTGATCTGCTGGCCTCACCATACCTGAAGAATGATAAAACCTACCTGTTAAAACACGCACCCACCCCAAGGCTGCCATCTCCTACCTCCAGATGGTGATGGCCAGGGTACACAGGACCCCGGTGAAGGACGGAAAAAAGAGCAAAAAGATGAAGAAAGTCATCATCTGTGAGGCCCGCCAGGCTTTGCTCAGAGGCTGGAAATTCATCATCAGGCTGATCTGAAGAAAGAGAAGCAGTCACCTCCCTTCTGTAGCTGGAGAAGCAGGCCAGAGGGACCCCAGCTAGACACCAGCTCCCTGACCCCTATCCCAGCGCCCCCCCACACACCCAATTTCAGCCACCACTGGGTCACATGGGACTGAGCAAAGCCGATTGGTTCCACCTTCAGACTGACTCACATTTTTGACGTAAAACATGATGAAAAGAGTAATCATTTGGATAAAGGGCAGCAGAGGGCAGAAGAAGGTTCCAATCCTATGAGAGAAAGGGGATGAGTGTCAGAGATCAGGGGAGACACAGGGAATCTGTGCGGAGGGCAGGGAAAGAGGGTGTTATGGGCTGAATTCTGTCCCTCCGAAACTCATATGTTGAAGTCCTAACCCAGTACCTCAGAATGCTACTGTATTTGGAGATAAGGCCTTTAAGGAGATAATTAAGGTAAAATGTGGCCACTAACCTCATGTGGGCCCTAACAGACTCATACAGAGGGAAGACCAGGTGAGGACACTGGGAGAAGGCACCATCTACAGGCCAAGGACAGAGGCCTCAGACGAAACCAACCCTGCCAACACCTTGATCTTGGATTTCGAGCCTCCAGAATTGTGAGAAAATAAATTTGTGTGGTTTAAGCCACCTGGTCTGTGGCACTTTGTTATAGCCACCCTAGAAAACTCATACAGAGGGAGACTGATTCCAACACAGCAAACCAGGCAAATCCCACCATACACAGTATCCACAGCTCTGGAAAAGAGATTTTGCAGAGAACGCTACCCACACAGCCATTAATTAAACCACCAGAGGCCTTCAGCCAGCCCTAATCCAGGTGTCCCCACAAATTTTTAGAAAAAGCACTGCATCGGACAAACAAAACACACTTGCAGGCTGGATACGGCCCGGGGCCCTCCAGGTTAGGAATCCCTGCTCTATGTTGATTCTTGACTGAAGTCCTCATATAGGAAAAGAACAGTCTGGGACATGAATTCATGGTTCTCAGACTGGCTGGATTTGGTATCACCTATGCAGCTTTGAAAAACCACAGATTCTGGCCATTGCCACCAAAACGCCTAGTTCACAGTCAGGCTGGAACCACTGGGCAAGCCAAAGATTGTCAGAACTCACCACACCAGAGTTTGTGTGTAGATCAGTTCTAGGACATTGCTGGCAATGTCAAACTCCTGTAGGCCAAGACTTGTGATAAGCCGCATCCCAATGATTCTGTGAAAATGTAATGAGTTTAGTACCCAAACCATCAACTCCCTCTTTCAAAAGATTCCTCACAACTGAAAAAGGAGGACAAATCCTCACCAGTTTGGAATAAAGTCATAAGTTCCCTTGCAAATTTCTGAAAATTCCAAGTATGAGCATGTTTTTGAAGAAATAATTGAGGGAAAATGGAATTAACACAATACATTCGAATGGAGGTACTGCTAAAGTGGTTCAAAAAAATTCTAGAGAACATTATTTAAATTATCCCAACTACTATCTATACAGATAATTAATTATGAATTTAAAATAGGCATTATTTAAATGAGATAATTATTTAAATTATTCCAACTATTATCTTGTTTATACCACCTTTTGCTTGTTAAACCTTTTTTTTCAGGGACCAAACTCAGCACTCTCAACCCAAATAAAATGAAAAATTTTCAGCTTTCAGTTACTGCTATTGAGTTAATGGTGTTTCCCTGTTTTCTAAATCCACAAGGAGGAACCCTACGTCCCCATTTATTCTGAAGAAACTTGAGACCACTTTGATTTTTTTTCTTACGGAGGAATTGCCAGTAAAAAACTGTTGTAAAAAATAAACAAAACAACAACAACAACAAAGAACTTCTCACCTTTATGTCCAGACCCTGGACAGAGGCTGAACTAAAAGTGAGTTTGGGCATACTGAGTGAGGAAATTTGGCTTTCAACCTACCCACTGAGGAAAGAATCAGTATTGTGCCATGCCATCTTATCACTAGGGCAACTTGCAAAAATAAGTAAATGTCTATTAGGAATGAGATGCTCATAATATTATTATAAAATAAATGAATAAATAAAAGAGGACCACACATGGGCCAATGATGACAGTGCCCTAATCCTGCACACCTGGAGTCTAAAATAAAAATTAGTGCATTAATTAAATTCAATGAAAGCAATGAGATAAATCTATAGGTACAGGCATGGAAAGATGACAAGGCATACTGACAGAATTAGTAAGAGCAAACTCCATGGTGATTTTGCAGTGTGACCCCATTTTTGTCTTTGAAAATTATATAGTATACACACACACAAAGCAGTGCATAGACAAATCTGGAGGAATATACATAGACTAGAATATTAAAATGGTCTATTGTGGATAAGATTTCAAATGACTGTTTCTGTGTTTAATTTCTAGAACTTTCTCAGGAGATTGCATAGGGCAAATTGAACTAAATGAACTTTGACAACAGGACTGTCAGGTCAAGATGAAATTTCAGTTAACTCAGAAGAAAACAATATTTCAAAGGACAATAGGCAGACTTAGAACAACATACACTTAGAGTACAGAAGGGACCCACACTTCATGCTCAGCCAGGACTATGGCGCTGGTTACAACGTCAGATATAATTACTCGGAGACAGACAAATATTTACCTCCTCAGGAACTCCCCCAGGAAGGAATCAGCTAAAGAGAACACAAAATCCATCAGAAGGAGCCGGTAGATTTCTTGGCCAATGAGGGTTTCCCAACACTGGAAGGCAAACAAGATTTGGGATGTGGGAGGAGGCTGTTATCTCCACTTAGTTCCCATCTGTTCCTGGCCGCCTGTGCTCATAAGAATGTGGCTGGTGGCTTAGTTTGACCGAGTTTTTGCGTGCCCAGAAAAGCAGACCCACTCTCAACAGAAATGCACCTTTAGGGTGAATTTGTTTTCAAGAATGTTTATTCTCTTCCTGTGCTCCTTCTTCCCCCATTAAGGCTTTGCCCTCCTCAGGTACCCAAACTTTCCCTTCTCACTAGCTCTCCCCTTTAACACTTTTCTTCTTTGTCCTATGCCCTCTGGATCCCGTTTCTTAGCCAAGGAGAGCAGGAGGTGTCAATGGCTAATAATGCCTCCACACCTTTTGCTTATTAACCTTATGAAAAATCAATTAATATCTTCTTGATTAAGAAAGTGGCCTAGAGGTTTAGCAGACTAGCACAAACGGGAAGGTTGAATTAATCAGCTTATGAAACTGGTGGTTAGCTACCTCTGTAGGAAGTCAGTGCTATGAGCTGATGGATTGGGAGCTTTTAGATTTGGCTGAATGAGGAAAGTTTCAGGTGTACAGCCCAAGGATGGATGGAAGGATGGATGGATGATTAGATGAATAGATGGATAAGTAGATGGACAGATGGATGGGAAAATAACATGATATCTGCTCTAATATCATAAGCAGAAGCTCTTGAGAAACTCACTTCCTCCCTGGCGGTCAAAGGCAAGCTTAAGGCAAAACAGCATGGAAATCTCACCTCTTCATCAGCCAGGGCCACAATGTTGAGCCAATAGTAACAAAGAATTCCAACGATTGATAATTTCAGAAGGATGTTTCTAAAAAACAGAAGCGAAAACAACTACCATTACCCTCCACAGCAGTCATCAGTGCTGTTTGCCAATATTTCCTTTGGGGCATACAGTAGGATGGAAATTCCTGCCCCCCTGTGGTTTAGTGGGGCTATATGGCTAGATCTGGCAAATGAGTTGTGAGCAGAAATGATGTATGTCATTTTGTGTCACTTCTAGACTAGAGCATTTAAATGCCAGTAAGACTCTTCAAGACTCACTGTCTTCCCTCTGGAATGACAATCAGAAGTATTTGAGATGGTTGCTGCGATCTCAGCCTGGATCCCTGAGTGACTAACATGAGCAGAAACCCCCTGCCAATCCACGATGGGCATGTAGCATGGACAAGGAATAAACATTTGTATTCTAGACCACTGAGAGCTTGAGGTGGGGGATACTTGTTACCACAGTTTAACCTCATTTATTCTGACTGATACACCTTCTTTTAGGTGTCTCCAAACTACCTGATTTCATTTCTCACTGTAATAGTAGTACATATACATACTACTCATCAGGTGCTACCATGGACAGTAAACATGCTAAGCACTTTATCAAATCATCCCTCTTAATCTTTACAACTCTATCATCAGGTAGATGGTATTTTATGCCTATCTTACCGATGAGGAAACTGAAACGCAGAGAGATGAAATAACTTGTATGAGATCACACTGTTTAGGGGCATGGCAAAGGTTCAAACTGAGGACCATCTGATTTAACAGCCTGAGGTCTTAAACCCAGTCACTTTGCCTAAATCAATACCTTCTGGTTTTAAGAAATCTTCAGCCTTGGTGTTGTTAGAAAGGCACACTTTCTGGCCCCAACCTGGATCTGCTGAATCAGAAACTCTGGGGTTGGGGCCCAGCAATCCCTCCAGGTAATTCTGGTGCATGCTAAAAATAGAGAACCGTTGCGCTAGACAACATTGTGAAGAAAGGGACAGGATCTGTCTTTTCAACTCCAGATCCCGAACCTCTTACCCAGTGCTTAGCCTATAGTAGACCCTCAATAGCTACTGGATTAACACCTTAGTATTCAGTGATACTGTGATTTATAATAAGAAATATGTGTTTGGTCTTCTTTCTCTTTTCTGGCACTGAGCTCCTAAAGCCGTTGGAATTTTCTAAATGAGGAGAGCTATCAAGGTGCCTTTTGTTATATTAATGAAGTGACTGTTGGGAAGCCCCCAGGTCTATTAAGGTTAGGGGCTGGTTGCCATTACAACCAATCTTGTGATTAGAAGGTCTGAACTCAGCTTGCCTATCTAAGACTCCAGGGAGGGGAGAGGGGCTGGAGATTGAGTTCAACGACCAGTGGCCAATCATTTAATCAATCATGTCTATGTAATGAAGCCTCCATAAAAACCCAAAAGGAGGGGGTTCAGAGAGCTTCCGGATTGGTGACAGGACAATATTTGGAGAGAGTGGAAATGTCTGAGAGGGCAAGGAATCTCCGCACCCCTTCCCCAAACCTTGCCCTACATATCTCTTCTACCTGGCTGTCCCTGAGTTATATCTTTTTATAATAAAGCAGTAATCTAGTAAGTAAAGTGTTTCTCTGAATTATGTGGGCCGCTCTAGCAAACTAATCAAACCTGAGGAGAAGTTCGTTGGAACCTCCGATCTCTAGCTAGTAGGTCAGAAGCGACCAACATGGATTTGCGAATGGCATCTGAAGTAGTGGTGGGGGCAGTCTTGTGGGACTGAGCCCTTACCTTGTGGGATCTGACGCTATCTCCAGGTAGATAGTGTCAGAGTTGAGTTAAATTATAGGACACCAACTGATAGTGGAGAATGGTTTAGTGATGTGGGAAAACCCCACACATCAGAATTGGTGTCAGAACTTTATATACATTTACTGCAGTATAACTCCAGGTTAAACTAGAAAACACACTCCTCTAAGCCAAGAGAAGCTTATCATAGGTCAGAATGATTGTCTATTTCTGAGCTGTCTCATTTTCTCTGCGTGTAGAGAAGATTTTAAATATTTTATGAAGCAATACATAGGGCTAATATATATTAAAAGAGAATGAATCTCTCTTGGGATCAGAAAAATGCAAATTAGATAAAGGGATTAGATCAAAATGACACACTGAGCATACATGCCTACCACCTCTCTATCCAAATTCCATCGAAATGATAGAAAAGTTAAAAGCTAAAAGACCTATAAAGCAGAGGGAAACAAGTCACCGAGGACAGACCAGAAATACAGAGGAATTTATGGAAAATAGAAAGCAGAAATAAAAATATGAAAAGATTAAAGAAAGATTAAAATATGAAAAGGGGTTGGAGGAAACCCCAGTTTAAAACAAATTTGGCAGAGGACTTCCTCAGAGCTTGTGGTAGTTCTGAGGATGCCCGGAGCTTAGAGACAGCAGATACGAAGTGTCTGGAAAGGGCAGCTGGGTGATTATTTGACCATGCTAGATGTCAGAAGACCTCAAAGCAACACCTGCAGACCTCAGAAGAGGTAGTTAGAATACAGTCTTTGGCCCACTCAAACCCACATTCAAGTAGAAAGGCAAAATAAAAGACGTGGGAACGTGGAAGTCCTTAGAAGGCTGACCATCCTGATATCTACTCTAAAATGATGTCTTATCGTCTGTTATAAAATGAGGAAGTTGTAAGTAGGATACATTTAACAAACACTGGTGAGCAAAGAAGCCAGTCAAACTTAATGTGTATGTCCAAAAAAATTGCTTTATGCCCCTGAATTGTACATTTAAAATGGTTAAAATGGTTTCTTTAACCACACACACAAAATCCCAATTGTTTCTAACCATTGAAAGGAGGCACCCAGACTTGTAGGGTGGGTAGAAGTGAAGGCTTTCTCAGATTTTTTTCTTCAGGAGAATAATACATATATAGATTAACTCTAAACATTAATCTTAGAAGTCAGCCAACTTTTTCTGTGAAAGGCCAGACAGTAAATATTTTTGGCCTTGCAGGCCATACAGTCTGTGTCCCAACTCTGCAGTTGTAGCAGGAAAGCAGCCATAGAAAATATGTTACCACTGGACATGGTTGTACTCCAATAAGATTTTATTTATGAAAATGGGAGGCAGGCTGGGCCTGCAGGCTGTAGTTTGCTAACTGCTGATCTAAAACATATATGTGTATATATGTGTATGCGTGTGTTAAAATATGCTTGTTACAAATTTAAGGGTAACAGAAATGTTTAAGATCTGTATGAAGAAATTATAAACATAGACATAAGCATAGATATGCTATTCCAGGAGCAAGGAATGGCCAGTGCAAAGGTCCTGAGGTGGGTATGCAGTTTGGCATGTTTGTGAACAATCAGAAGGTGAGTAAGGCTGGGGGCACTGAGGAAGGAGGGGGGGAGTAGAAAATGAAGTTGGAGAGCTGGCCAGGAGCCAGATCTCAGAGGCCATGGTAAGGTAACAGCTCTGGAATTGATCAGTAAAGAAAGTCAATCTGCATGTACAGCCTTATCATTATAAACACCACCGTAACCAGGAACTGGTCAGGGCACTAGCCAGGAAGAAGCAATAAGGACACAATTTGGGTAGTTTTATACTCTGTTTATCAAAACTGTGGGGCCACCTCTAGCACATACAGTGCCTTTGTGGGAATCACAAAAAGTCACCCCTTCCCAGCCAATGAACTGCCAAAAAGCAACCCCTCCACTTCCATTTGGGTGCCTGGACTACAAAAATGCACCTGTTCCTCCCAGATGATTCGGTGGGTACTTGGCCTCACAGTTTGACTCATGGGAACACTGGATGATATCAGTCCCTACGCAACGCCTTAGCCAAGAACATTTGTGCAGTGCACAACCTGCCCATCTGTACATCTCATAACTGAGAACTATGTTAATCCTCAGGCTGGGAGCAATTAGGAAAGATAAGCCATTACTCTGAGCAAAAGGCAGAGGTACTCAATAACTGTATTTCCTCAGGGCTCTTTGGACTTCATGGCTATTAACCCATACCATAAAAACACACTTTAATCTTGGAATTCTTTCTGGAAAACAGAACTTTGATACTTGAGTGTAACCCTTTCTAGCTTCCATCCATTTCCCTCCATAAAAATGGAAGCTGGTGTGGGGAGTGATAGCCACACTTACCGGATCAGGAGGCTGTAGACTTCATGCCTTGGCATCTCATAGCGCTCCACCAGCCTGAACATGGAGTAGAGGCGAGGCATGACCAGGTTGATGCAGGACACAACGAAAGGCAGTAACAGTACCGCCCCGGGGTTCCTGTGGTTCTCCAGGAACTACAGGGGATGGAGGGAGAGAATCAAGATGCCGACTGTACACTGGACCCCTCTCTGCCTGACTCAGAAGACCCTCCCACTCCCACCGTCACGACGGGAAGACTGCAGAAGTCGATCCTCTGAGGTTAGCTATTATGGTACCATTTATCCAGCACTTACCCTGGGCCGAGAATTACCCACGTGACGCTTTAATTCCCACTACAGCCCAGCAGGTGGGTGTTAATAGACTTAACTGATGGACAGTCTGAGGCTCAGAGAGGTGGAGATACTTGCCCAGGGTCACCCAGCTAGGAAGTGGCAGATTTGAGCCCTGGTCTATCAGACTCAGGGACCTGAGCTCCAACAGCCATTCTGTGACTTTACCTTCCTTACTGAGACGTTTGGAAGAATGAGAATGTGCTCCTGGCCTTTGGAGGAAAAACTTGAGTCACTGAAGCTACCACACAAGGGAATTTCTCCTGCGCGCCCTTGTTCATTTCGCCAGGCTTCGCCTGTCCTTGCAAGGGGAGCCTCTGCTAGCACATGCTGCACATTTGTATGAGGGTCAGAGGGGCGCCCCTGCCTTCAGGGGTTTGGCTGGAGGGAAGCCTGGGCTGCCCCTCGGCCAGACGCCCTTGGGGTAAGGGATTCCAGTGGATTTATTTGATGTCTGACAATTTCCCATTCCCCACCCCCAGGCCTGACTCTGCCTCTATCTACCTCTGGATGGTTTTGAAAGCCCCACAGTACTTCTGGCAGTATCTTTGGAGCCAGAGTAACCTAGGGTCAAAGGCTGCCCCCCTCCCCATGCTTATAAGCTGCAAGGTTTCGAACCAGATGCATAGCTTCTCTGAGCCTCTGTCTCAGTCTGCGTGATAGGGAGATTATTATTAACCCACAGAGACATTGTAAGAATTAAGTGAGACCAAATAAGGGAATGTCTAGCCGCAGGCTAAACGACACAGCTGGGGGCACCATTCACGAGAAACTGTAGCTGCCGGTGAGTGCGACCCATGGAGTTGTGCAGAGGGTTGATCCTGCCTGGCACAGGCAGATGTTCAAACAAGGGGAATGATTCCACTTCTACCTCCTCTCCTCCTTAGATGCCCTCCTGCACTTCACGTGAGTGTGAAGAAGACCCTCCAGGTCAAGGAGAAACTCAGACGTCTCCTTTATACCTACAACTGCCCTGTCACAGCTTCCACCCAAGGTAGGCAGTGCCAGACCCCACAGGACTGTGATTCAATTTTGTCTCTTTCAGAGCAATCCTTAATATGGTTAATGACAAAGCCTTAGGTTTATATAATCTCACACCCACTTTCTTGCTGGTTCCTTCAGTTTTTCATCCATTGCGTTGAGCACCTACTATGTACCAGGTATTGGGCCAGGTGCCTGGCTATTCTTTTGAAAAGACAGATGCATAAACAATCATTTTCAATGCTGCATGTGACCAGCGCACAGGGAAAGACTGCAGAGTCAGGCACACCTAACCCAATCTAGTAAAGGTAGTGATGCTGAGAAAAGACTTCCTGGAGGAAGTGTCACTCACGCTGAGGTCTAGAGGAAGAAAAGGAGGAGTTTGCCAGATGAAGGGAAGTGGGGGAGGGCAGTGCAGGATGAATGTTTCCCATCCAGAGATGAGGAAAAACATGGTGTGTTCAGGGAACTATGGACACACGATTTAGTGTTGCTGGTGTGAGATATGGGTGGCTGTGGGGTGTTGAGGCTAGAGATGTGGGCAGGGGTCACATCACAAAAGATCTATCAATCATGCCATGGAGGATAGATTTTATGTTTAGAGTAATGGGAAGCCATTAAAGAAAGTGACACAATCAGACCAACCTGCACCACAATTCTAGGTGTTGGCAAAATGGGCTAAAATTAGCCCCATTTTCCAGAAGACTGAAATCTACAGAAAAACAGTGCTTTGTCCACCCAGCCAATTAGTCTCAGAGTTCATATCATTAAAAAAAAAAAAAGAAAAAGCTAACATTCCTTCAATCACCCACGGTACCAGGCACTAAGTAGACTCTCCACGTAACTTTTCTCTAGTCCTGACCACACACCTACAAAGCAGGTATTCCCAGTTTACAGGTAAGGAATCTGGAGCTTAGAAAGAGTAAATCACTTGCCAGATTCCATCGGTTCACAATACTTACTGAGTGTCTACTCGGTGCCAGGGGCTATGAGAGACATTTGGGATATAATAATAAAGGAGGAAACCAGAACCTGATCCCAAGCCTGCAGCCAAAGTTCCCATCTCTCCACTAGCCCAGCTTCCCACTCTGAGGTGTGCACACAGGTCACCTGGGGATGTTCTTATGATGCAGATTGTGGGTCAAGGGAGGGACCCAGGATTTCTGCATTTTTTAGCACACTTCCCGCTGGTGCCGATGCTACTGGCCACGACCACAGTTTGAGTGGTGGGCTCTCCCCTCCCCTCCGCCTCCTGCATCCCGTCCCTTCACCTGCTTCTCTGTGCTCCAGACCCTGGAGTTCCTGCCTCTCTGGTTACCTCTGAGTTGTTCTCAGCCAGGTAATAAATGGCTATACAGCAGGCAATGGTCACTCCAGTAGAGACAACCCAGGCTGCCAGGTGGGCAGAGAAGCGAATCAACTGCTGATTGAGTGTTAACTTGACATTCTCCTGAAGGATTTCTGACAGGTTCTCCTGTAAACACAAGGAAGTCAAGTTCACCCGCAGACCCCCTCCACTGTCAGCAAAGACTCCCCCCCAGGTCTTGCTGCCCCTAGTGACACAAATCCACCCCAGATCCACAGGAAAGAGGGGGTAAGTGCACAATGAACTTGGATTAAGAGACCTGTGGGAAAATCTCTAATGGGCAAGACCCCCATCACTTCATTAAATACATTTTCCATCTGAGAGAAATAGAGATTGGGACCATGATCTTGGGAAAGTACATTGAGGCTACAGAACCTCCTTGAAGAATAAGGCTGTGTGTCTACACCAGGGAACCCTCTTGTCAAAGCCCCTTCGTTTATAAATTCTGCTTGCTCTTTTTTTTTTTTTTTTTTTTTTTTTTTTTTTTATTAGCTAGAACTATACATGATCCTAGACTGAGACTACAGCAAGCAAAATGAACATCACTGGAGAATAAAGGAAACACGTCAGAGTTAATATATATTAAGGACCATGAATCTTGAGCTCTTGTGACTTAAACAGGTCAAAAAATAAAATACTGATTGACCTTTGGTTTAATGTCTTGCAGCCTATTTACTGGTTCAATGAAAGTTTTCCTTTATTTTCCTTCTGCTTGCTCTTTTTTTTTTTTTTTTTTGATAGTTTTTTTCTATAGACCGGGGTTTGTCAACCTTAGAGCTATTGTCATTCAGAGTTTGATAATTCTGTGACAGGGAGCCTGTCCTGTGCACTGCAGAATGTTGAGCAGCATCCCTGGCCTCTACTCAGTAGGTGCCAGGAGTACACACTCCCTGGCTGCAACAACCAAAAAAGTCTCCAGACATTGCCATGTGTCCCCAGGGCAAAACCACCCCGAGTTGAAAACCACTGGATAAAACTTTAAAGTATTTACATTTAGACCTTTGTTATAAATTGTTAAATTGCCCTCCCGCAAGCTTATATCAATAACAAAGACACCACGTTGTGTGAAAATGTCCATTTTCCTACAGTGTCACCAGCCCTGGGCATTTAAAATAGTTTTAGGGGTTTTTTGGCAATATCATGGAGAATAAAAAATAATTCATTAGTGCTTTAAGAAAAGTTACAGACATATTGAAGGAGGAAAGATGACTGGCCATGGGAAGGGGTGTAAAGCTAGCTTGCCTTACCCTTATCTCAGTGCTCAGATTCTTCTGTTTCAGCTTTACAGTGCTTTTATGAGTGACAGTGAAATCCCAGCAAAAGATGAGTTTAGCAATCCCTCTGGAGTGAATGTGTGGGTTAATGAAGTTGTTCCGGAAATACCTGGCCATGCTAGGGAAGGCAGAAACCAAAATACCCAGAGGTTATTAGGACAGTCATTGGGGGTGCAGGGAGTATAACAGAGAAGAGTCCCATCATTAATGGTGAAAGGCAACATGGAAGGGTTAGCCCCAAGTTCTTCTGGAACAGGGCAACAGCAAACAGAATAGTCAGGAGTGCTGGCTTTGGGATCTGACTTTGTAATCCTAGATTGCCAACTGCGGGATTTTGTCATTTTAACTGTTCTGAGCCTCAGCTTCCACCTCTATATAATGGGGAGAATAATAGTTCACACCTCACAGAGTTATTATGGGGGTTGTATTAGTTTCTGCTATAACAAATTGCCCCAAACTTACTGGCTTAAAAGAGCACTTATTTATTCTTACTGGAGGTCAGAAATCAGAAAATGGGTCTAAAATCAAGGTATTGGCAGAGCTGTATTCCTTCTGGAGACTTTAAGGGAGAGTATGTTTCCCTGCCTTTTTCCAGCATCTAGAGGCTGCCGACATTCACTGGCTTGTGGCGCCTTCATTTTCGAAGCCAGAAGAGTAGCATATTCCACTTTCTCTCTGACTTTGACCCTCCTTCCTCCCACTTTCAGGGACTTTGGGATTACATTAGCCCATTTTAAGATCCTTAATTTCATCAATCAAAATCTTTTTTGCCAGATAAGGTAACATATTCACAGGTTCTGGGGATTAGGACATGGACATCTTTGAAAGGGGAAGCATTATTCAGCCCACCACAAGTCAATGTAGCCCTTAGGGCACTACGCACATGATAAAGGCAGCTGTTATTATCATGGAGATGTCAGTAGGATTCAGTGAAATCGGGCCCAGGAAGCACTTAGCACTAAGCCTGGCATGTAAAAAATGCTGAGTAAAATGGACACTACCTTTCCAAAATTTGCCACCACTGAGTAATAACAGCTTTAGAAACAGAAACATTTCCTAGTTTGATAGGACAAAAACAATCTTGTTTTATTTTGGATTATCGTGCTGGCAGGGAGGTTGTTATGGGATGAATTGTATCCTCTAAAAATTAATATGTTGATGTACTAACCCCTAGTACCTGAGAAATTGACTGTATTTGGAGATAGGGTCTTTACAGAGGTAATTAAGTTAAAGTGAGATCATTTAGGTGAGCCCTAATCCAGTATGGCTAGTGCACTTATAAGAAGGGCTTATTAGGACTCAGATATGCACCAAGGGCGGATCACATGAGGACACAGTGAGAAGGCAGCTGTCTGCAAGCCAGGGAGAGAGGCCCAGGAGAAACCAACCCTGCTGACACCTTGAACTTGGACTTCTAGCCTCCAGAATTTGAGAAGAAAAATTTTTGTTTTTTAAGCTCCCCAGTCTGTGGTACTTTGTTTCAAAGACCTAGTAAACAATAGGTTTAAGAGATTGAACATCTGTACCTCCTCTTTGACAATTGTCAATTGACAACGGTCAGTCAAAACTACTTGAGTCATTGCATCCCTATTTTCAGACTGACCAATTTCTTTAAAAGCACATGAACACTTCTCTTCCTCTATCCAAACTTATACTTTATGCTCTAGGACAAGGAATGATAAAACAGCAATAGAAAGTTGAAATTTCAGAGAAACTGTTTCTCCAGTAACTTTTGAGTCTCTTGAATTTTGCCTAAATCTAAAAAGAGCTTTAGAATCAGAAAATGCAGACGTTCTATACCTGAAGAGCAAACTGAAAAAGCAGACAACCAAGCATGCTCCGACTGTGAAGATGTAGGCCAACTGCATGTTGTAGGAGGTCCCACTACTCCCATGCTGGTTTTCAGTATTGGTGTAAAAGCCGTAGTACATCACTGTGTCCCTAAAATAACCCTGAAAGGGACAATAAACCACAGGTCAGGTGGATCTCTTGAGAAAACAATGAATGACTATGGTCTGCACAGTTGACCTCTTCCATATGCAAGAAGCCTGCACTGGTCAGTGTAGACATTTTGTTTGCCAGGAAAGAGGCACCCAAGGCCACTGAGAACGTAGACGTCTTATCACTAGGCTTTCAGAGGTGCAAAGGAATCTCAAACCAACATAACTTTACAATGGAGGGACCCAGTGATCACCACCCAGACCCAGTGACCAAGCCAAGCATGATTAAAAGCAGGCCAGCCAGCCATTATGTGCCTCTGTCCTCTAACAAGTATTATGGTCAAACAGGTTTAAAACGAAACAAATCAAGCCTTTAGGTCTAAATTTCAATTTACAGGAAATAAGGAGTCTGTATAAATTAGAGGAACAAATTAGAGAGACCCGGAGGAAACAATCTGACAATTGCAGAAGGTAGAACATTGGAATCTGCATGACAACTGGCCTGGTTTCTGCAATAAGCCCATGTCAAGAGAAAAGGAGGAAGGGACTTGAGGATATCATTCTAGATTAATAAAGACTCCAGAGGAAAACAACTGAACGCAAAGAGAGTGTGGTCTTTGCTTGGATCCTGGCCTGAACAAAAAGCTATGAAAGACATTTGGGGGACAACTGAGAAAATTTGAATATGGTCTGGATTTTAGATGATATTAACTTTTAATATTGCTAGGTGTGATAATGTATATGCCTGCAGGAAAATGTCCTTATTGTCCAGAGATGCATGTTGAAGAAATTCAGCTGATGTCTGTGATTTACTGTAAAATACTTCAAAAAACAAATTTGGGAAAATGGTAGCAATTTAAAATCTACGTAGTGGGTCTTTGGATGTTTATTTTACTGCTCTTTATTTTCCTGTATGTTTGAAATTTTTCGTAATAAAATGTTTCATATATACAAATATACACAATAATGAGAAAAAAGTGAAGGATAAGTTGACACAATAATTCCATTTGAATGTGTCTATCCTAAGGGAAAAAAATTTTAACAGAAAAAGAAAAAAGAAAGACGAATGGAGGAACCTTACTGTGAATGCTCTACTACAAGAGTAGGCAAACTCTTTCTGTATAGAGCTAGATAGTAAATATCTTGGGCTTGGCCAGCCCATAACTGCTCACCTCTGCTATTGTAGCAGGAAAGCAGCACAGACACGGAAACAAATGGTTGTGGCTGTGTTCCAAAAGAACTTAACCGAAAAGACACTGAAATTTGAATTTCATATAAATTTTATGTTTCACAAAATGTTATCTTTCTTTTCATTTTTTTCCAACCATTTAAAAACATGGAAACCAATCTTATTTTGCAGGCTATACAGATTTGGTTCTTGGGCTGTAGTTTGTCTATCCACAGAATCTCAGTGGCAGAAATCGCTTCTAGAAGGGGGCAGGGGCTATGTGCTTCAGTAGGCAGCTGGGTAGATATACCGTGGTTGTTAATAAAAAGAATAATATGGATGTATATCCATGCTCAAGATTCATAGTGACGGAAAAAAAAAAAAAGTTGCAAAGCAAGATTTGTAGTATCTCATCTTCTTTTATTAAAAAAAAGTTTAACTATATATCTATCTATGTATCTATGTATCTATGACTGTATAGAAAGAAAAATGGTGGACAGAGGTACACTCCAAACTGGAGAGTTAGACAAAAGAAGGAGGGTAAAATAGACTTTCTCTTAGTTTGCTCTCTTCTATACTAGGAATTTTTTTTTTAAGGAGGACTGTATTTTGTAGAAAGAAAAAAAAGAAAGAAAAGGTAGATCTGTGAACATCAATATGAGATGTCCACCACATATTAGGTGGAAGAAGGCAAGTTGTAGGCAGTCTATAGGAATAATTCATCTTTTGTTTAAAAAAAAAGGTGCATATGTCCATGCACAATGTGTCCATTTGTGTGCAGAGAAGAGGATTCTGGACAACAAAAACTGTTAACATGTTCACCTCAGGAGACAGAAATTCTACTAGGCTGTGTATATGTTACTTTGGGGGAAAAAAAGAAATCATTTTAAACACCCTCTTTCCCCATCAGTTGACTCCCAGGCAAAATGAGAGGCCTGGAAGGGTGACGGGCAGACCTGTCCCTGCGTCTCCAAGGTGTGAACTCTGGGCAGGGGATGGTGCACTTACAGCCCCGGTTAAAAATTCCAGTCCAGTGAATTGGAGGTGGTTCTTCTCGGCCATGGTTAACTGAGGGATTATGATGAAGCTGAAGGTCACAATGAACAAGAAAATGTTGAATTTCAAAAGCCACCTCAGAAAGTTGAAATAGGAGAGGACGCTGGTGCCGAACTTGCCTCCGATGACCTTGAGCGTCTTCTGCCACAGGCTGATGGAATTGAACAGTTCCGACAGACTGTTCTTGGATCTCCGGTATGCCTGCGGGTAGACACAACGTGCGCGGCTGGACCATCCCTCAACAAATATCTATTGAGCAGGCTCCATAATAGCGACAATGGCCACTGTTTCTAGAGCGGTATGATGTGCCAGGCGCCACGCTCAACGCATTTGCAAACATTATCTCATTTAATCCTCAGGACCACCCCCTAAGGTGAGTGCTATTATTTATTACCTTCCCAGGTTTGCTATTGAAGGTGACACTCACAGTGGCTAAGTTGCCCAGATAACTCAGCAACCTCTTAGGCCTTCCCATGCCTGCCTGTTTTCCCCACACCTAGACTGACCCAGTTTCTACGTCTTTCAAGGAAACAACCGTGAACTTTGGTTCCTCCTCCCTGTGGGTCCCTTCTCATCCTTACTCTCCCACCTCCCTGGTTTCACCCTACTCTGTGCCCATTTACTGACCGCAGTAAAGACCGATTTACCAATGAAATGGAATTCACACACTGAGCACAGCCGTCGAGCTCCAGGATACGACCGGGCTGCTTACTTTTCTCTTTGTCAACCATTTTCCTGTGGGAAAGAGCAGAAGAAAGTGAGAGACACCAATGCTGTAGTTGCATTCATTCCCCAAATATTTCCTGAGTGCCTGCGATGTGCCAGGCATGGTCCCAGGTGGTGAGGTAGAGACGGATTTCCCCAGCTCATGGAGCAGACATCTTAGTTGGAAGAGGAAGAAAATAAACAATAAATATAAAAATAGAGTGGGTAAATGATATAGGATAATAGAAGGTGAGTTGTACTATGGGAAAGAAAATCGAAAAACAGAGTAAGGAGGTGGGAAATGCTGAGGTGAAGACCGTGGTACAATTTGAATAGTACAAAGCGTTTGCGCCAAGTCTTGAAGGAGAAGAGAGGTTAGTCTATGGATAAGGGAGTGTCTGAATATAGGGAACAGCCAGTGCAAAGCCCCAAGGAGTCCAGGACAGCTGGAATGGAATGAGCGGGGGAAGGGTGAAGGGTGTGAGTGATAACTGTAGGTAGGTGGGTGAGGTCCTATAAATCAGTGGTTCTCAACCTAGGAGATTTTGCCCCCAAGGGACATTTGGGTAAGTCTGGAGACTTTTGGGGTTGTCAGATTGGGGGTAGGGAGGGCATTGACATCTAGTTGGTAGAGACCAGGGATGCTGCTATACACCCTACAGTGAACAGGACAGCCTCCCACAACAAAGAATGATCCAGACCCAAATGTCAGGTTGAAAATCCTGCTGTAAAGTCTTTCAGGCCATACAAGGCCCGCGCTCTGTGACAGAGGAGGCCATGCAGAGTTTGAAACAGAAGAGTGTTTTCAAAAAGATCCAGCCACAGTTTTCTCTTTACTTCTCCATGAACTCATGGCATCTCCTTTGCTCTGACCCCTTCCTGGCTCTCTTTTGTCCACCCCAAAGGTCCATCACCACATCACCATCTTCCAAGGCTCAGCTCACAGATGCCCCCTGCTTTGCCCAAGGGAACTATCTCTCTCCTTCTAATCCTTCCCCTGCAAACTCCTTCCACCTTGATTTGGCCTGATTTTCTTTCTGTCATTTATAAGTTACTTGTTGACCAATCTATCTCCCCTGCCAGACTCGGAACCTCAGAACTATTGCGTCATTGAATTATTTATTAGCAACTGCATCCACTCTACTAGTTTCTGACAACTGCTACAAATTGCAAAAAGAAAAAGAAAAAGGCTGAGGAATGGTAAATGTAAGAAGGGCTGAAGGCTTAAACAGCCCTCGCTCTTGTCTTTGAATTCCTGGGCTTGGAAAGCTTCTGAGGTTTTGTTTGTTTGGGTTTTGTGCTCCCCCGCCCCGGCGCCTTGTGGCTTGCAGGATCTTAGCTCCCTGACCAGGGACTGAACCTGGGTCAAAGCAGTGAAAGCACCCGAGTCCTAACCACTGGACCACCAGGGAACTCCCTCCCCTCACCCCCTGCCGCCACCTTATTTTTTTTTAAACAGTAGTTTGAGATTTACAGAGAAATTACAAAAAGAGAACAGAAAATTCCCATCTACTACTCACCATTTCCCCCCTTTAATATCTTACATTTTCATGGTAGGTCTGTCACAACTAAGAAACCAACACTGGTGTCTAACTTTTACCTAAACTCTAGACTATTCCGATTTTACTAGTTTTTTCACAGGTGCCCATTTTCTATTCCAGGACCCATGCAGGAAACCACATTGCACTAATTGTCATGTCTCTTTAGAACACTTTAGCATGTGACCGTTTCTCAGACTTTCCTTCTTTTTGATGACCTTGACAGTTTTGAGGAATACTCCTCAGGTATTTTGAAGAATGTCCCTCGATTGGGGTTTGTCTGATTATTTTGTCTGGTTAGACTAGGGGTGCTGGTTTTAGGAGAGAGTACCACAGAGGGGAACTCCTTCTGGTCACATGACTTTCCCTGGGAATGTTAACCTTGACCACCTGGTAGTATTAGTCTGATTTCACCCCTGGGAAGCTACTTGCCCCTTTCCATGCTCTGCTCTCAGGAAGCAGGTCACTAAGCACCGCCCACACTCCAGGCAACCAACACAGATTGTGTGGAATTCTTCCGTAGGAAGATTGTCTCTTCTCTTGCATTTATTTATTTCTTATCTTTCCAACATGGGACAAAAGTAGACGATTGAGGTTTCCATGAAATCTGGGCAAGAAGAACAGCTTTTGGTCCATACCTAAGGTTCCTTTTCTCTTCCATGGTCCTTGGTTGATTCCTGATGGCTTTAATTCTGTCTCTAGATGTCATGGGTATCAGGGATGCGATTAACTTTTGTCCTGCAGAAAAAAAAATGGAGTTTAATTTTTTTCTCCTTTAACAGAATAATAGCATTTGAAAATACGGTGCTGAAGACAGAGCATGTTTTTATAAGAGCACAAAGAAAGCAGAATATATGTACTCAGTGATCCCAAAAGTCACAAATAAAAACAAGAAGACGGCACGTACACGTGTGAAATCTCGAAGCCAAAGCATATGACAGTTTGCACGCAATTCTAATTCAGTGCTTTCCTTTTTCCCATGACGAGGAACAGTCAGCAAAGCTGATGAGACCCAGAATGTTCGGTCGGCCTGGCTCTCTTCCCTCTGTAATTTCCCGCATGGCTTTCTCTTGCCCCCTGCACTCCAGGCCCAAGCATCTTCTTGACTTTTCTGGACTGTTGTCTTGTGTTCCTCCATCCGCTGGAAGATGAGGACTCCCCCGCTCCTCTCCCAAGAAGTCAAATTCCCACTTTGCGTCAGCGTGGCAGATACTGCTGGTCATCTATCCCGCAGTCAGCTCTCCTTTTTGACAGAATCCCAATCTGGTTCAGAAATCTACGGCCCTCTCTCCCATGGACCTGGGCTTCTGCAGGGTGGGACCCATCTCCAGGCACAGGGGACAGATCCCAGTGAATCCAAGCCTACCTTGATGGTCCCAGTCCCCTTGCAGGTGACCTGTTCAGGCCCAGGCATGTGACACGTTGGCCAATGTTCTGTGAGGGGTGGTCTGCTGAGGAGTTTCTTGGAAAAGGTTTCTTCCCTCTCAAAAAAGCAAGACTCAAAAAACATGGAAAAGGCAGACCCTTCTCGCTCTGGGTGGTGGTGTGTCCGCGTGTGACGCCTGGCACTGCTGCCCCCCGTCCAGTAACAGTGGAGGGACAGCTGGAGGCCCGACAGGGGTGGCCGGGAGCGGGCTGGCTCCTGGCCCTGTTAGGGAGCTGTTTGTTTGGAACTCCTCGTTTCAGTGACATAGCTGAGGTGGAGGGAGATTGCCCAGAAGAGGGCCACCAAATCACTTGGCGGAAGACGAGGAATTTGAGTGTCTCCTGAGAGGGAAGTGGGAGTAGACAGAAAGGAAGAAAGGCGAAGGAGGGAGGAGGAAAAAACCTGGTTTCACGGCAGACTTGACAAAAGAGGCATCCCTTGTTGCCAAATCCAGAGTGGAGAGCGATAGGACCAAAGCCGGACAGGACGGTGGTTAGGGTGTCAGGCTTGGGAATCAGGCAGACCTGCATTTGACCCCAGATCTGCCACATCATTTAACTTCCCTGAGCCTCAGGGTCCTCATCAAGCAAATGGAAATGACAGGCATGCCTGTCTCACGGGTGTGGAGCGTGGTAAGTAAATAAAACTAAACTCGATGGATAACAAAAAGGCACAACACTGGGCACATGAAACGAGCTCGATCAAGGTAAACTCCTTCTTTGGTATCAGACGTTCTCAAAGTGACCCCTTCCGCGATCCCAAGCACCCTCAGGTCATCTACCAAACCTTCACCCTCCTCGAAGTCTTAAAACCAAAACCCTGTGGGCAACCTGGAAGGTGCTGTTCCCGTTCTAACTCCTCTGCCCCGGGGTCTCACTACCTTGGATGTTCTCATGTGAGGTACGAGGGGTGTCTAAGCCCATGCTTTCTGAGCTATGAAGGGTCTGGGAAAACGATTCATTCGCAGGTGTTGAACACCGTAAGAACTGCTTGCGTTTTTTTGTCATTGCAATTGCTGAACACCTGAGAGTCTGTCACATCAATGTCAGAAATGGAGGAGACCAGACTAACGCTTGCATTCGCCAGTGTCTTTTCTGGAACAATCTGACTTGAAGATGGATGGCTTTGGACCCCATATGGGACATTCTCAACCTCAACGATGATTTCATTCACTTGGTCACCAGACAGCATCTCTGGCTTCCTCCAAGCCTTACGCTCCACCAGGGTGGGCTTCCCAAGACCTCATATAGCCGTCACACTGGCATTGAGGGGAACCTCCAGGAAAAGTGATGACAACCACAGAGAGCCTTCCCCCCCCATCCACAATTTTGTTTTGTTTTGTTTTGTTTTGCGGTACGCGGGCCTCTCACTGTTGTGGCCTCTCCCGTTGCGGAGCACAGGCTCCGGACGCGCAGGCTCAGCGGCCACGGCTCACGGGCCCAGCCGCTCCGCGGCACGCGGGATCTTCCCGGACCGGGGCACGAACCCGTGTCCCCTGCATCGGCAGGCGGACTCTCACTCACCGCACCACCAGGGAAGCCCTAGAGTATATTATTTAATTTCCACAATCACCCTACAAAATAAGTACTATAATAAACCCCATTTTATAAGAAGACTGAGGCCCCAAAAGGTAATTTGCCTAAGGTCACAAAACCAGCAAGTAGCAGAGCTAGGGATCAAACCCAGGTCTGTCTGGTCCCAAAGCAGGGCCTTTTAATCACTTCACCCTGGTCCTCTCCTGTAACAAGATGCTGAGGTATCACTCATTCATTCATAAATGAATGAATATTTATGAGTACCTACTAGGTGCCAGGCACTTCCTAGATGTGGGCATGATACATCAAAGTGGCACTCTATCAGGAGACTGTCCACCAATTAACTATAAATGATTTGAGAATCAGAACTGGTGCAAAGCAAAATGGTGCAGAAAGCCAGGTTCATCTCTGGGTCCTCTTTCTTTACTTCTCTCTGCCTCCTGGGGACTCCCCCCGAGAGGCCCTAATCTTCATGCTGGCCAGAGAGAGCATCTTAGGAGGTTTAAAGGCATTTCTTTTTCCCCAGTAGTTAAAGCCATTCCCTGCTTTCGTGGGAACCAAATGGAGAGCATGACTGTTTATATCCCCACGGTTTTCTCTCCCAAGTAGCAACACCTACCCCTTGAAAGATACAGGCCTCCTTGAGAAGGCTCTTAAAGAATGAGGCTACAGGATATCATCCACCCTAGGGGGTCAGAAGGTGAGGGATGGTTTTAAGTCATGGGGCCCCGCTACTTGCGTTGTTACTTAGAGGACGTCTTCGGTTTATTCCTCGTTTTTCACAGGTTTGCCTTTAACTTCCAGTATTCCCTGGCCTCTCTCCTCTAATGCTTTTTTATTTCTCAGCCTCTGCCTCTGCTCAGACCTTCACCACAGCACACAGTGGTCCTTATAGCACTTCCTAACTGATCTCAAAGCCTCCTCCAAAAAAAAAAAAGCCTTCTCCAATCTGATTACTTCTACCCTCCACTGTCATAATAATTCTATGATTATTCAGAAAAATTGGGCTCAAGGCACTGCCACCTCACCAGCACATGTATTAAGGCACGGGATGGACATGTGACCCAGCCTTCTTTCCTATGTAAAAATGATTGGTTCATGTGTAGGTATGTGTCCCAAATAGGGCTGGAGAGAGCCTCCTCAGCACTGACTCACAGGCCAAGAAAGAAAGGAAGACTTTCCATGACATTGCTGAGCTGTGTGTGTGTCTAGGCCTGCTGCTGTCATGCTCCCTGGCCTGCAGGGAAAGCCTGACTGGTTGAGATGAATGAGGTGAAGCTTAAAGAGAAGCTGCATCAAGCAAAGATGCAAAATAGATGGAGAAAAAGAATCCAGGTGGCCCTGAGCCCCTGGCTTCAGACTCAGAGGCCCTGGTTCCTGTGGCTCATACAACAAATATCTCTGAGCACCTACTATGTGCCAGGCACTGTCCTAGGTGCTGGAAGGTAATTCTACCTTCAATTCTTTGTCTCCCTATATCCTTCCCACCACACAAGCCTTGGGCCTGGGTGAGTTGGGTTTCTGTCACTTGCAACCAGAAGAGTCCTAGTGACGACGTCCTGATATCCAAAAGAGAAAAAACTGCATGTTTAAAAGAAAACCCGGGCTTCCCTGGTAGCGCAGTGGTTAAGAATCTGCCTGCCAATGCAGGGGACATGGGTTCGAGCCCTGGTCCGGGAAGATCCCACGTGTCGCGGAGCAACTAAGCCCGTGCGCCACAACTACTGAACCTGAGCTCTAGAGCCTGCGAGCCACAACTCTGAAGCCCACGTGCCACAACTCTGAAGCCCACGTACCACAGCTACTGAAGGCTGCGTGCCTAGAGCCCGTGCTCCGCAGCAAGAGAGGCCACCGCAATGAGAAGCCCATGCACTGCAACAAGGAACAGCCCCCGCTCTCCGCAACTAGAGAAAGCCCTCGCACAGCAGCGAAGACCCAACACAGCCAAAAATAAATAAATAAATAAATAAAAGAAAACCCCATTATGACAAATTAAGGAAGTACCGCATCAGTTACCACACCAGAGGCCAAGAGGAAATGGCAAAGTCCTCATTGCCTGGAACACATTCCTTCTTCAGGGTTGATTATTTTTGGTCACTGTCCATTTAAGCCTTACCTTGGGGTGACTTGCGCCAATCATGTCCAGACAAGGGTGGGTCTCCATAAGCTTGGCTGAGGCCATTGTCACCCACATAAGCAGGGCTCACTGGAATGAAGAGACAAGAGACAATTAATCCTACCACACTAGATGTTACTGAGCACACAGTGGTCAGTAAGACTTGTTAATGGGTCACAAATCAGAGTTCAAAAAATACTTGTCTGGAGGGGGAGGGATGAATAGATGGAGCTCAGAGGGTTTTTTTTGTTTTTTTGTTGTTTTTTTTTAACATCTTTATTGGAGTATAATTGCTTTACAATGGTGTGTTAGTTTCTGCTTTACAACAAAGTGAATCAGTTATACATATGCATATGTTCCCATATCTCTTCCCTCTTGCGTCTCCCTCCCTCCCACCCTCCTCAGAGGGTTTTAGGACAGCAAAAATACTCTGTGTGATACCATAATGATAGTTACATGTCATTATATATTGGTCCAAACCCATAGAATGCACAGCCCAAGGTGAACCCATTGTAAACTATGGATTTTGGGTGATAATGATGTATTAATGTAGGTTCAATTGTAACAAATGTCCCACTCTGGTGGGGGACTCTGATAACGGGGGAGGCCATGCACATGTGGGGCAAGGGATATGTGGGAAATCTCTGTTACCTTTCCCTCAATTTTACAGTGAACCTAAAACTTCTGTAAAAAAAATAAGTCTTCTAAAAATTGAGTAAAAAAAAAAAAAGCTTTTGTAGGTGATTACAAAGCTTCCTTCTAGGTCTAGCATTTTATGATGACACGTGAATAAATTTGAAATTTGGCATGATTTTCTTAGGGACAGAGTCCACTTTCAGCATCTACATGACAGTGTCACATTTCAATATATTTTTATTCAACTCATGGTAAACAATGAAGGCTAAACTCCCCAACAGGGAAAATGGAGCACATTTTGACGGAGATGTACAAAATTATACTGCAGGAGGTTCTGGAACTTCTTGCCAAGGATCAGTTCCTGGCTTTGCTGCTTACTAGCTGTGTGCTCTCTGGCATGTTACTTAACGTCTCTGAGCTTCAGAGTCTGTAAATCAGGGATAATAATAAGACCTTTGCATAGGATTGTTGGGGAAATTGAATCAGTTAATACATGTAAAGTGCTTAAAATAATCCTGGAACATAGCAAATTCTTAATATATATTAACTATTGTGGTAAATTAATTGTTTTTCAGCAAATATTACATTTCCTCCACCTTGGAAACCTCCATTGAAGTTGGGCTTGCTCATGTGACTTGCTTTAACCAGTGGAACATGGTAGAAGTGACAGTTTGCTAGTTCCAGAGACATCGTTTGTTTCTGCTTCCAGCTTATGCCATGCGAAGAAAATGGCCCAGGTTAGCTCACTGGGTCAAGAAGGACACTAGACCTAAATAGAATCTGTGACCTCAAATCAGGCACAGCCAAACCCAGCCTGGTTCAGTCAAACTCCAAGCAAACCCACAGATGTGTGGGTGAGAAATAAATGATGTTTATCGTACAACATTGGGTTTTGGAGTTGTTTGTTATGAAGCATTCCTGTGGCAATAGCCAACTGATACATCCCTTACAGTTGTTGCTATTAATTCAGTTAGCATTGCTCAAGCACCAGCTGTATGCTAGGCACTAGGAAAATCACATAGAGCCTTGGAGGATACATGGATGAAATGGGTTCTCCTTAAGGAGTGCATAGTCTAACAGGATGGCATAGCACTGGACAAGTGAATGCCGGCACAGCAGCCTTGGTCCTACAAGGAGCCCAGAGAAGGAAGCCACACTTTACGTGACCACTTTTTTTTTTTTTGCGGTACGCGGGCCTCTCACTGTTGTGGCGTCTCCCGTTGCGGAGCACAGGCTTCAGACGCGCAGGCTCAGCGGCCATGGCTCACGGGCCCAGCCGCTCCGCGGCATGTGGGATCTTCCCGGACCGGGGCACGAACCCGCGTCCCCTGCATCGGCAGGTGGACGCTCAACCACTGCACCACCAGGGAAGCCCATATGTGACCACTCTTTAAAATAGCTTTCTAATTCCAGTGTTCTATGCAGCTTGGTGGTCAGGAATCCGCATTTGCCTTGATCCTACCCAGAAGTAATGCAGGGTCAGAGAGACCAGATTCTGATACGGACTCTTTTGATTTAGTAGCTGGGTGACCTTGGGCACGTTTCTCTCTGAGCCTCAGTTTTCCCCTCTGTAACATGGAGAGCTGTAGTGTCTGTCTGAAAGGTGGCCACAGATGAAAGAAGACTGTAAAAGTAAAGTGCTTGGCAGGGTTTCCAGGACATGGGAAACACTCAAAACCTGCTGGGCATTATTAGCTCTGCTTGCATTGGGGTGGGGCAGTGTTTCTCAATCTTTTTTTTTTCACTACTGGCCACCTAAGTAGCCTTTTTAGACATTTCTTCCTTATTGCCCTCCCCCATGATATTTTAATACCACAGATATACGTATAACTATATACATATACTGTATGCATATCTGCTTTATACATAAAAAAGGGAAGGTTTTTTTCTGGCATTTCAATAAA